GAGCAGGCAAATTCAGTCAAAAATATACACGAGAACACGTAGTATCTTAATTTCTTAATAAATCAAAACTTTTAAGTTAGTAGATCATTCCAGTCATATCTCACTTATTAAGCCAAGATACAAATAAGAATTTTGCTTGCAAATACAAGCACTCTATTGCTCTCCTAGTATAAGCCAGAAAACAAATTAAAACGTTTCCCATTAATGACCGTTTTCATTTCCTTCAAACAAGTTGGTTTTTTTCCTACTTTAAATTGTGATGACAGTGGAAGAAATCAGAATGTTAAATCAATATCAAATCAGAAGTTGATCTAAAGATAAAAATGCAAAATCTAGTATTTATCAAGATTTCAGAATTATTGTCACAAAGTCAGATGAGTGATGAATAAGAAAGATTGCTGAAGCTGGGCAGCATACTTAATTTGAAACTGGTGGGTATCTCTGCAGTGCCATCTTTGGGCAAAAGGGTGGCAGTTGTATCTGGAAGGAGAAAATGCATTCCATGGGCAGAGAGGGGTGGTAGAGTTGGAGACATCACTGTTGCTTTTGGGACAGGTAGAGGGTATATGCAGATACACCCTCACTCAGCAGCTCAGCATTTTCATAAAATGAAAGCATTTTAGCCTTTCATTCACAAAATAAGGTTATAATCCTGTTAATGAGTTTTAATATTTAGATATCTCAGTATCTTATTATAGAGTTATAATAAATAATATATTTTGCATATAGCAAAACTCTTAGGTTTGACAGGAACACTAGGCTATATCCTCTCATTAATTATGTATCTCAATCGTGATTTTTTTTTTTCCCAAGCTCTCAAATCTCATAGCGGATTTAACAGTAAGACAGAGTTAACACAAAATGAAAGTTCATCAGCTATAGTGATGGAAACTTGATAGATCAATAACTCTATGACGTTATGATTCAGGGAGGTATGGAGTGTATCCTTTGATTTGTTCTTAACATCAGTGTCTTTGTACATACAGGCAGGTAGCTTTGTGATTCACTCTGAATTGAAGAAATGTGAATATAGTTATGCTTTTATTGGAATATGGACCGCAACCAAGGGGTGGAAATTGCTACTAACGCTCTTGAGATTCCTTTGTATAGGAAAGGCTTACTCTCTGTTGTGAAACAAGCTGAAACACCTCTCCACCAACAGATCTGCACAGAGAAAGGGAAACTTCAATCCGCCACATGACAGCCTCCTATCTGCAAGCATATCACGCTAGTCCAGAGAGGCTGAGGAGGACACAGATAATGATGGCATCTCATCAAAAAGGTCCTCACTACCACTTTGCAGAATTGGGTTGGGGGCGAGGGGAGAAGAGATACATACCATATACTTGTTCTCAAAATATATTAGGAAAATAGCTGGTGCCGACACACCTTACTTTTCAAATGGTTACATGGATCAGCATCCTATTCCTTGTGTGACCTAATGTCAGATCCTTTTAACTTAGGTGAGTTTGTTATTTTCGGGGAATGGATATAGTACATAAGTTGGAAAAGCCTGCCACAATTTTCCATAATCAGATCATCCCTCCTTCCAAGCTTCTGCTAATACTTTCTGATGAGGTACATGGGTCTATTAATGCCAAAAAGGTTGATCCTACTGCCATAAATAATAAATTAATACCCTCCTCCTACTTATTCTGCTGGCTGACAAGCATTTCAGTTTGGAGACAAATGAAAAGAAAATCTCCAGCTATGCAGAAGGGAGAAGAAGGCATTTGGAAAGAGTACAAATGACTGGCAAGTCCTGCTCGCCATACTGTAGAATTATGGGTTTCCTCAAGGAAACAATAATCAAATACCATCTTCTTGCTTTCTCTGATCTCCAGAGACTGATTATACAGATCAGCCTAGATTTTCTACAGCCAGCACAAATCTTTCATTGCCAAAGAAAAGAGCATTTATAAAACTATTTAAAAATACAAATGAATCAGAGCAGCATTTAATGATACGCTTCACCTCTTTTCTTACTCTTTGCTTTTAATCACATTTAATTATATGCTTTGTCTGTTTTCTTCCTGTCCGGCTCCTCCTTTTATTGCTCACCTGCTTTTGCAGTAAAAATACTCTTTTCATCATAAGAAAAGGAAGAGGTCAGTCAGGTTGCCACAAATCAGAATTAAAGCACTGGATTATTTAAAGGAAAATAAGTAATTGAAACAGTTGATCAATATGAATGTTATCAGATAATCCAGACTATCCTAAAATGGCAATTGTTTCTTCTAGGGAGAACTCTAGGATATCATAACATGACTCTACTAACCTCCTGATTAACTGCCAAAAGTACTGTTTAGTTAGCTGCAGGACTGTTTTGGCAGGAGACGCCCTGGGCTTGTTTAGAGGCTATTTTGCCAACAGCAGAGTGAATGAGGTAACAACCAAACATTCATTGCAAAGCATATGGGAAAAACTGGCTTCATAAAACTTAGCACATAAATCAGATATAGCTTGGGAATGCACGAAACATTATGACTCATTTGTTGATTGCAGCTGCTACAACAAGCTTAGATTTTTTTTTTACTCAATTTGTACTTTCCCCCCCACATTACAGTGTGATGCGTGGCTTCCAGGTTAAGTGTGCAGGTTAGAGAATACCTTTTCAAAATCCTTAATTTTAACAATGATGTCATTGGGGAGAGCAAGGAGATCCTTATTTCATAGCGTATGCAATGCCGACAAAGAACACAGTCCCTATAGTCAGAAAGACTAAAAAAAAAAAAACCTCAGTAATTTTTGAAGATGTGTTATACAGTCACCCATGATGAGTCCACTCATTGTGAACAAGAAATACTCTAGCCAAACTGTTAAGGTATTAACAAAATGAAAAAAAAAATTAAGTAAATACGTTCTTAATAACAAACTCCTTACATATTTGAGATGCTCCAGAAAAATACAAAGTGGCATAAAAAGCCCCATTTGAAAGCTGAAGATTATATAATGACCATGGTTCTTTAGAGCATGGTGAAGCTCCGTCCCCATTTACTAGAAAAAATTACTAATATGCACGGAAGCATATAGGTAGAACCAAGGACTGACATATTTGTTTTGTTCCTCCTTATGGCTATCTCCCACATGTTTAATATTGGAACAACTTAAATGTATTTTCTAAATAATACTTACAACAATAATTCTAGTTAATATCATTAACTTATTAATCGTAAATGGGGGAACTGAAGTCTGTATGGAATATTGATTTCCTGGTTATGTAAGATACAGGGCACATATTTTCTTCTATTTCTGTGTTTACAGAGTACCTCAACACATTACAGAATATATTTACTATATTTAAACTATTCCAGGCAAGAGGAATTGAAAAATTACAACAAGGAAGGTCTGGATGGAAGAGTTAAACATCACTCTGAGAATTAGTCTCAAAAATCTGCACAGTCAGAAAACTGCCCAAAAAGAAAATTAATTTTCAGCTACTGAAAAGGTTATGATGTTTTCAAGAATGAAGTGTGGATGAGAGGGAAGAATTAGACTTCTTTAGTTTAGTATTATAAGAACAGTATCTGGAAGCATCTTTAGCAGTAAGACCATAACAAGCCATACCAATTAAATGTAATTAGCATAACTCTAAAATTATATTAAAAAAAATTAAAACAAGAGATGCATTTTAATTTCATTGTGAGAAAATGCTATTCTTTTGTAATCAACATTATCAATTGCCAATTGAAGTGCTGAACCCTCTTCCTTTGGATGTACGGAAGCTAGAAAATATAACAAGTGCTGAAGCTATACATCCATTGCTTTCCGAAACACTAGATTCCTTCACACTTTAAAAATATGCAGTCGATTACATCTTTGGAAAACTGCATTTCCCCTTGATCTCAGTTTTAACATTACTATCTATTCTGTCTAGATCAAATAACTTTTTATACAAAAATCCCTTTCATAGAAGTGAAAACCATTCAGATGAAAGGGAAGTGGAATGAGAGCTACTCTTTTTTTCGATCAACATTTTCACAAACCGTTTCACTAATGCTTTAATTCAGGGCTATTCAGTGCAAAACACTGCATTAAGAACCCAAAACCTTAGGTAATATAAACAATAATGAGTCCCACTTCTAATTATAAATCAATATCACGCACTGTAACATTAAATATAAATCATAATTAAAAAAAAAACAAATGTGGATTATGGATGCCATTGTCTCTCACACATTCTGCACAATTCTCTGAATATCTTCATTACCTTTTTTTAAAATAGAAAATCAAGGCAGACAGGTACCGCACTGGCTTCCAGGTTAAATGTGCAGGTTATAGAATACCTTTTCAAAATCCTTAAATGTGAGTATCAAAAGCAAGTGTTTGAGTTTTCTAAAAACAATTTCTATGGCCGCCCATCACACAGCAGTGACTCTGGGCAGTATACAAAGTTAAATCCAACAATGAGAAAAATCCAAATAATAAAGGCCTGAGATCACAAACAACAAATTCTAAATTTACAATAAAATAACATCAGTCAGCAGAGCTGGCATATAAGTATATAAGACCAGAGGACTGTTCAATCTTGGCAGTAGGAGAGGAAAAGGAAGCAATGGTGCATGTATTAACAGGGTATTTATTATACTGTTAAATTATATGTACACTGGAGCTTTTAAACTGAATATAATTTTTAAATCATTATTTGATGTTTAATTTACAAAACAAAATACACAGAAGGAAATCCTTAAGGAAACCCAGAACTCCTCTCCTTAAAAGTAGAGTAATGTTTTTGATCAAAGCTGTTATCTCATGACATTGCTCTTATAATTTTGTTTTTTGTTTGTTTTTGTTTTATTTCTGCTTTTCCTCCCCAGTCATCCTCCACATGCTGTCATAAAGGTAGAAATGCAAAAAGCTTACTGGTAGAAAAATAAATTGTGTTGAAAAAATAAACTTTTCAAATTAAAGTATCTTCTTCAATATAAGGCTGGACATACTGTAAACTGCTATATCTGAAAAAGAGGAGAACCCAGTGAAGAAACAGAGATTAAACTTACCGCTGGCATTCTCCAGCATGCAACACTAAATCTTCATTGTTCTTTGCACTGATCATGAGTTCATGTTCTGTTGAGTTGAATACATCAAGGAGCAAATGGCATTGGCGAGTACTATTTGAAAAATTAAAATAAATAAAACTGTGACATCAGAATGTATGGTAACGATAATTTTTATTAAACACATACTTTTACAGAATGTTTTTCAGACCAGTCATATATGCAAAATATATGAAACATACAAAAAACAGAGCTCTTGCACTATCACACAGATTCACTATTGGATGAGGACTGTGGCTATCTGAAAACAAGTCTAGTATTTTTCCCAAATAATTTACCTTTAAAAGCGGAGAAATCGCTACAAATATGACCTTGAGGGCAGATTAGGTTTTCTAACTTTTCTTTTTGTGAGATGGGAGTCTCTTAAATTCAACGTCATCTTCTTTTAGGGCAAATTCTGGAGATGGCTCACTAGGCTGCTTAAAAATACTTTTCATTATATCTGCAATTAATTATTGTGCAATAGACATTAGTTTGATACCAAATCAAGTTTCACCTTGTCCTCTGCATAAGTGTTTGTGGCATACTAGAACTGTTCCAGCTCTGTCCCAACATATAGCAGGGAATACTGCATGTGGCACAGCTGTGGTGAGGAGCTGACATGAAGATCTACAAACCTAACAGGGAGTGATCTGTCAATGAAGGGACCGATCATAACAACCCCCAACTCCAGATCATATTGTCACTGCCCCAAGACAAAAACCAGATCTAGCATGTGATCCTGACAGTGAGTCAGGCCATTAATAACATGGATCAGGTCCATGGTGAACTGCCAAGCTGATCCTGGTCCCGAGAAGGCAGATTAAAGTCCCCCAACATCAATAGCCTGGGAACTCCATTGCCAGCTCAGCCACAGCATCAAGCAGTTCAGGCTTTGCAGAAGGGAGGCTGGTACAATTATAGCAAGTCCCACTTGATAATAGTTGCATGTTATGCTCCAATGAATGGTAATAATGGAAGAACCAGAAATCAGTTTGAGAGGATTCAGTCATTCTGAATGAATATGATCTAGGGAGAAAAAGTATGTTGTTAGATGGCATGAATGGATAGGTGGGAACAAGACAAGAGAATAAAGAAGTTGGGCTAGTTGATGAGCCAAGAATGAATGGGAATAGTGACAGCATAGAAGAAAAGTGTCTATTTCAAACACATGATTTACACACGTCTATTCGTGCTTATTCATACATTGCAAAGGAATGTATATAAATCTAAAAGATTTATAATTACAAGAGTGATGAGAGGTCAAGAAGAGATAATTTTTTGATGGGTCTTAGAAAAAATGGACATGAAAGAAAAGGAAAGAGAAATAAATGAGAATGAATGACTGCAGGAGGAGAAAATACAAGTCTTGCATGAACAAGTATTAGAAGCTAGATTAATATCCCAACAGAATGAATGGAAAGTAGATGTCACGAAAGAGTCTACGAAAGCTGCATTGGAACAGAGTGGAGAGTTATGTTACAGAATGCCACAGAAGTGCGTACAGCTATGCTAAACAGGAAGTATGAAAAAGAATATTTGGTGGAATCTTAAAGTGAAAGAGGCTGTAGATAAGAAAAAATTGCATATGTGAGAATGATAGCTACAAAAAATGAGGATAAGAGAGGAATATTGCACAATGTGAATCAAGAGATATTGATAACGGCAAAGAGTGTAGTAAAAGAGACCAAGAGAAAATTCAGTTATTTTGATGGTAATTAAAAAAAATGAAAGTGGGTGAAGAAGACTAAATAAGGAGCTTCCAGCAGAGTGAATGGAATTAAAAAGTGATAAAATGATATAGGACAAAACTAAAGTGAAGCTATGCTGGAAGGAATATTTAGAGTTTTTTGGGGGGAATGATATTGGTATGTCAGAGAGTATAGTTGAAATGAAAGCTATAAATGTTAAGTTTCTAAGTGAAAGTGATGAAAACAAAGTCATAAATACTGTGAGAATGCTGAAAAGTGGTGAGGTTCAAGGTATACCTGAAAACTGTAGAAATGTTAAAATACAGGTGTAATTTGCTTTTGGAGTGACTATGAGACTTCTTTAACATGTATGAAGACTGCATCTATATATGATGATTGGAAGGATCATTGTTCCTTTATACAAAAGGAAAGGTAGCAAGAATGAATGCAAATGCTTTAAGATTAGTATGTTAAGTGTGCCTGGGAAGATATTTGGCTTAGTTCTAACTGAAATGGTACAACAGGTGACAATGAGCAAAGTTTAGAAAATGCAGTATACTTTTATGCCAGAGAGGGGTTTGCAGATTAAATTTTCTCCTTCAGAGATCATTAAGAAATGTATGAATGTGAGAAATAAAGTTGATTTAGAAAAACTGATTTAGAAAAGGCCTATGAAAAAGTGAATAAGCTTGACCTACAGAAGATTTTGCACAAGTATGCGGTTAAAGACTGGTTCCTGAAGGAAGAAGTGATTTAATCACAAGGAAGTGTGATTTAATGTATTATGGATAAATACGGGAGGAATGTTTTTATTGATGTTACAGGTGTGATGGTTGGGCACATGTACATTGGCGTGCAGATGATGCTCACTTGTTGGCTGAGAATTCAAATATTTGCAATGAACTTTAACTAGGTTATATAATGCTCAACAGAGACTATGGATTTTAAAATTAATGTATCAGTGACAAACAGTTGGGGAAATGGAGTAAATAGTTGGAAGTTATAAAATGGCAAAAGAAAATCCAGATTTCTAGGCCATCCAATTCCAAAACTAAAGCAAGTAGATTAATTTGTGTACCTTGTTGCTATTGAAGATGGAAAAAAGAAAGGATACATTTTAAGATATTTACATGCTAGTAAAAAGTACTGGATAGCATGTGGTCTAATGTGAAGAATGAGAGTTTGTCAAAAACACCTGTGTATAACGGTAAGCTTCTACTCCCTTTGTTATGTGGAAGTGAGAGTAAGTTATTCAGGAGAAACATAAAGTAATTTGAGCATAGGGGGAATGGATTAAGAAGTGTGTGTGATAAAATGAGAGAGAGTCAAGAATGTGGACGGAATACAAAAGTGAGTACAGTATGAAATAAGTATGTCAGGGTGATTCGGTCACATACAGAGAATAAATGAGGACTAAACTGAAGATTGAATGTATGAAGATAAAGGGGAAGATTGAGAGTGTTGTGGTTTGATGGAATCGATGAGATATTCAAAAAGAAAGAGGTGAGCCTTTTAAAGAACAAAAGACATGTGAAGCAGGGCTTGGACATAACAGAAGCAAGGAAGGTTTATAACAACGAGATACAGTAAACATCATTTAAACTACTTCAAGCTCTGTTTCCTTTTCTTGCTTCATGACTTTAATTTTACTTCTTTCTCTCTCTCTCTCTCTGCATAACACTCTTTTTTCCAAAAAGGAAGTATTTATTAAGCATATTAAAACACTGCTGTCCCAAGCAACATTTTTATAGACAGAGGTAATCTATTAAGAACCACAATGTTACTATAACTGAAACATGAGATCAAACGTGAGTAATGTAATTAACTAAACAATTTTAAACAGCAATGATTGAAAAAAAATAGTTTTCCAGTGTTTTGCTATACTAAATAGAATAGCTAAAAATAATAATAAAAAAAGGAATTTTCTTCTGTTGCATCTTTTTAAGGACCATACTTGAATAAAGTATCAGAACTAGTTCTGTAATTTTTCCAATTAACTTATATTTTTCAAATACAAGGAGTCATTGAATAGATATTGCTATCATAAGAAAGCACGTGGGGCCGGCAGATGTTCTCAGGAGAAGACAGTCACACAAGTAATCCAGTCCTAAGACACGTAAGGCTTTAAAGGTGATAACCAGCAACTCGAATCGCACCTGGAAGCCTTTGGGGAGCCAGTGCAGCCAGAGTAGTGGTGTCAAGTGGCATTGTGAGAAGTGCGTCACTGCATTCCAAACCAATTGAAGCTTTTGGATGGTCTTTAAGGGCAGCCCCATGTAGTACACGTTGCAGCTGTCCAACAGGGTCATGACTAAGATGTGAATGACCAAGAGTAGAGCCTCCTAACCCAGAAATGGGTGCAACTGGCACACAAGATGCAGTTGTGCAAAGCCCCCCCAACTACAGCTGCCACCAGTTATGCAAAGCCCCCCCCCCCCAGCTACAGCTACCACTGACAATGATATCCTTCTAGACCAGCTGAGGGGGCTGGGAGTGAGAGGCCCTGCTTTGCGATGGTTTTCTTCCTTCATCTGAAGCTGATGCCAGTCAGTGTTGATGGGAAGCAACTGGTTGAGCCCTAGGCCCCTGCTTTGCAGGGTGTCTCAAGACTCTGCCTTCTCTCCCTCCTTCTCTCCTTCTTTTAGCAGGAGCTGGGAGTCTTGGAGAACCCCCAAATTGTGCACCAAGTTCAAACAGGGCAGCGCCACACCAAAGATGGAAACACTACAATTCCCAGATCTGGGGGAACCAGAACCTATAACCACTCAGCTTTGGTGGGGCTGAGTCGTAACCTGTTCTTCCTTATCTAGACTTTCATAGCTTCTAGATGCTATGGCAGAACCTCAACACTTCACTTGGACTGCCAGGGGCAGAGATGTATAACTGGGTATCATCTGCATACTGATGATACCTCATCCAGTACCAACAGTTGAGGTCTCCCAGAAGCTTCATATAGTCATTGCAAAGGAGGGGAGGGAAGGCAGAGTCTTGAGACACCCTGCAAAGCAGGGGCTTAGGGCTCAATCACTTGCTTCCCATCAACACTGACTGGAATCAGCCTCGGACAAAGGAGGAAAACCATCACAAAGCAGGGCCTACCGCTCCCAGCCCCCTCAGCTGGTCTCGAAGGATATAATTGTTAATGGTATCAAAGGCTGCTGAGAGCCACTACTCTCATCTTGAACTCACCACAGGTAATCAACAAGTGAACCAAAGCCGTCTCAGTATTATACCCCAGTCTGAATCCTGACTGGAAAGGATCCAGACAATCTGCTTCCATTACTGAAATGGTGGATAGCTTCTGCCTTTCAGAATCAACTATCAATAGTAAAGATACTAGCATTTAAGAAGCATGCCACAGACTAGCATTTGGTAAAATAGCCATGAAAGCCTTGGAAAAGATGCTCAGATGCCATTATGTATTTACTGTATATCTACAAAAACCAGAATCGTGCAGGCAATGATTTTCCCTGTGACACTCTATGGAAGCAAAAAATTGGACTCTGAAGAAGCAGGATAGAAGAAATATTGAGAGGTTTAAACTTTGGTATTGGAGAAGATTCCTGAAAATACCATGGATAACCAGGAAAACAAACAAGTGGATCATACAGACTTCTTACCCAAGGCTCAAATGACTACACTTAAATTATACTTTGGACACACTATGAGAAGACCTAGCTCTTTGGAGAGGTCTATAATGCTGGGAAATGTGGAAGGAAAGAGAAGAGGATAACAAGTACCAATGTGGATGGACTCAACTGCAGCAATGATGTGTGCACCATTGTAAGACCTAAAGGACCAGGTTGGGCACAGATTGTCCTGGAGAAATCTATGTGATCTTTAAGAGTTGATACTGACTTGATGGCACATAATAAATATTATTATAATCCATTAATAAATAAAAAATATACTTGGAGTAGTGTACAAATTGTCTCTTACTTTTCCTCAAGAGAAGTCTTGATGAATTACTTAGAAAAAAAAAGTAGATGAATCAACAAATCTAATTGCTGATAAGCCTTTATGTGTCTATAGATCTTAATATCTGAGTAGTAAAGTCACTACTATTTGAGTTTTTGGCAGAAAAAAAGACTATTTCAGAATTGGTGTTAAGCTTTATTATTACTATTATTCACCTTACATGAAGAAATACTTTTCCCCATAAACACAACTTACCTTGTTGCAGGCAAGGTACTGACACGTGTAAAGAACACGGATGGCTCAACTTCCACATGAAGCCCTAAGGACAAGTTCCTGTAATATCCGTCAGCATGTCCTGGGCCTCCTGAGTATCTGAAATTCAAGATGGCTTCCAATGTCTAAAAAAAGAATAGTAAAAAGATTAAATCTGTTTATTTCTCACATGATACTATTTGTTTCTAAATTGTTCAGATAGCTTCAAGTCCTTAACCCAAACAAGTATCTAATGACCTGTGTAACTTGATATTCACATCAAATGCAGAAGTTCAATATTAGATGTATATATGAAAGTATGTATGCTAATCAAATATGTTCCAATCAGTGTAAAGATATGTATGTCTACAGAGAGATTTAATTAGCTAAGATTTAGTTTAGATTTACTTCAGATAGTTCCTCTGGCTGGTCAAATATGAATTTACAGAGCTTAAAAAGCCAGCGCTATGATATACTCCAACAAAGTGCATCTACCTTAGACAATCACCTCCATTATTTGCAATGGGACACAAGCTGAATTTTTATTTAATTCCAAAGGGCAGAGGAGGACTAACCATCTCTCTGACACCACTTCTGCCCCCCTAATGAGGAAACTACAGGGTTCTGGGAAAGTTGGAGCTCCAACACTGGCGTTTGTCCTTAATAGCTTTACAAATTATGTATTAATACAAATGCTATATTAAATACATCAAATGCCAGTTCACATCAACATTTTTGAGGAGGGAGACTGTTGCTTCATTGGATATAATTTGATTCTTTTTGCCCTTTGGTACTTGGCAAAGGACAGAAAGTTTAGTACCAGACAATAATCAATTAAAAATATTAGTAAATAAAAACATCCAACCATGTATTTCTATAATAAATGTTTGAGCCAAGCTCAAATCTATCCATGTAGTTTTCTTGGTAACAATATGGAACAGATTGCCAAATTAAGCAAGATAAAAAATACCAGTTCCAGATAATTTATTTAAAGCAAATTTGCAGTGGGAATACACTCACATGTACCAAATCTGTTATTGTGAAAGTGGCAATTGTGTCCAATTTTGTAAAACAAGCAAAAATGCAGTGGCTGATCTTTTGTTCTGTATTCTGAGACTTGGAGTCAAACTATATGTGATGTTAGTAATTTCTTCAAATCAACCACAACATTTATATTTTATTCCATAAAGCCCCAAGCAGAAACATTTTCCCTGTTCAGAGCTGGGGCCAAGTCTCATCCTCTATCTGGAAAATATTTGCTATCCCAGAGGTGCTGTTTCCTTTAACGAACAGTGTCAGAGGCCAAAAAGAAGACATTTTCAGGAGGAAAGCAGAACATCTAATCTGAACCAGAAACAAGTACTAGATGCTAAAGTGAAATGAAACCATTTTTTACAGAATTTAACTACAGGATGAGACAATGCTCTCTGTTAAACTCAAATGGGAAGAGTATACAAACTGAAGGACATCAGTTCTGAATTATATATAAACTCATATAAAGTTAGGAACCTACAAATGAGGTGACTGTAATGAGAATTAGCCACAGAAACGGAACACTACTTAATAAACTGTCTTCCCCTTTAGTCACATAGCAAGTGACTATTCATAATATCATTGAATTCTGAAATACATCAAGAATGAGGCACAACAATGAGGAAAAAGAGTCCCCAAACATATGGGGACCCAGATGAAATCTACCATCCCTCTGCTGGACTTCTGGGTTTCATGTAATCTGACTATTGGATGAAGGGAGCTTGTCGCACTGTAAAAATTGAATACAATAAAATATTGGGTGGGATTTTTTTTTTCAGACTGCCATTTTTAATTAATTTATACATTTTTGGGAGCCACCCAGAAGTTGTGGAATTGGGCAGGATAGAAATTATGTAAATATAATTAGTTAAATGTGTTTGACTTCAGATGCTTTGATTACAATGGTTGTCATCACTTGCTGCCCTCCAGATGTTTGGTTACATTTTACAAGCGCTGACTTTTGTTCATATTGGCTGAGGATGATGGGGTTCTTAAAGAATACAAGGCTGAAGGAAACTGCCTTATCCATCAATATCTTGCTGAGGCATCATTGTGACAGCGAGATGAAAGCCAGTCTGGTGTAGTGGTTAACGTGCTGGCCTAGAAACCAGAAGATTGTGAGTTCTAGGCCTCCCTTAGGTATGAAAGCCAGCTGGGTAACCTTGGGCCAGTCACTCTCTCTCAGTCCAGCCCATCTCGCAGGATTGTTGTGAGGAAAATAAGAGGCAGGAGTATTAGGTATGTTTGCTGTCTTGAGTTGATACACACACGCACACCTGTACAACACACACACACACACACACACACACGATAAAAATATGATGATGATGATGATGATGGAGGAGGAGGAGGAGGACGAGGAGGAGGAGG